TAGTTTTCTGCCAGCTCTGATAGTTGTAACTATTCCTCCTTGTGTTCCTTCTCTGCCGACACTTAAATTCTGACGCTTCGGTAGAGTAGTGAGCCGGCTTCTAATACAGTAATTAATTGTGTAGTCTTTGACTATTGTTCGAAGTTTAACCTAAATTTGATTGTTCTATTTAACTGCCTCACCACACGTTGTGGCATATATTGTAGCACACGAGAGCTCATTTGTGCTCTAAATTCTGTTTAAATAAAAAGATTATTTTTAACCTTCTCAAGACTGCCGCTGTTTTCAGAGATAGCGATAGTTCTCTTTATGTCTGTTAGGGATATTGGACTAATTAACATTACCAAAATCAAATGAAATCCTACATAGTCTTTAAGTAACTTTTATTTGAAACTTCCGCGGCTAGCATACAACATTTACAAGGGCCACAGTCCATCATTTTGGGGTATTAAGAGCTCAAAATATATGTTCTTTACATCCTTGTTAATACCTAAAGGTAATTTTATATGCTGGCAAGGAGGAAATTTTCATTTTAAGTTCAAATACGATAATAATAGCATATATACATACTAAGTGCTTTTAAATTCTAAAATAGTTTGCCCCTAAACTCGTCTCCGAATATCTTATAGTGATAAATAGCATTTCACATTCCTATTAACTGAAGCTGTTGCAAGAGTTTATCATGTAATTCGAGTTCGGTGTCTTCCAGTAACAGGAAACTGAAAAAAAATGAATAAAGTTTTAAATTTAATTCGGCATTGACATGTAAGGAGAGATGGTTAGATTTTAGCAAGGTACCCTATTACATTCATAGAACATTAAAGAATTACGATGCTGCTATAAATATTCTTAATGGGAGATTTCTTTAATTCAAAGGCCTCCGTTAATTAAGTATCGAAGTTGTTTGAATTATTCTATTGTATTAGAGGTTGTTATTTATAGATCTATTTCCAGATAAATGCATTAAGGTATTAATAGAGAATTTTGTTATTTGTTATTGTGCGTGTATTTAGTTTTCTAATTATATTAGCACAACATTTCAACAATGTTAATAGCCTTTGCCAAACGAAATGTAGATAAATAATCCTTTACAAATCTGTAAATTAAATTTAAGCCAGAATAAATATATGCAAACAAATCTTTCAGATATTAAATAATCGTAACTATTCAGAAACATATTTTTCGCTTATTATCCTTTCTCCCAAGAAAAACAGGCAGTGTAAAATTTAACGAATGTTTTTAATTGATTATAGATCTAATTTTTACTCTTTTTTAAACAAAAGGAGAAGTCCTAGAACTTGTTATAATTTTCAGTGGAATTCAATTTTGATGATTTGTGATCTTCAAGAAATTTTCCTTAAAACTAAAGCATATTTTGAACCTAGTTAATAAAACTGTGTTCCGAAATATCTTCTAAAATTCAAATATATGCAATTGATTTTTCGGTTATAATATGTAATTAACATTATGCGTTTTTGAATCACAATTATTAACAAAAATGCACTTTTTTGTGAAGCTGATTATTTGAATCGAAGTTAAAATATCTGTACATCATATATGTTGTTTTTTATATGCATATATGTATACTTTAAGACACTGATCTGCTGTATACAATGAATTAATTTTTGTAACAAATTTTTTGAGCGAGCATAGAAATAATTTAAAATGTGAAAGGGATCTTTATGACTTTACACCATCCAGAAAATCATTTTTCATGATCAGAGGAGAGGCATTAGGATAATACATTTTTCTGTGCAGCAGTTTGAGCAAGGTAAATGGTTGATACTGGAACTTTTGTTGAAATCTTCAAACCATTCATACAGGAACTTTGATCCTGGAAATGAAAGTCTTCCAGCTGTTTTGTCCAACTCGTTTTGGGAAACTCCTGCTGTACCATGGGAACCGTTGAGACACTGAAACGCCATAAACACTTGAGTGGCCGGCAACTAAAGGACATCGATGGCAAGGCGATAAACCGACATTCTCTATACTTAACTAGGGAGGTGCGAGATAAATCCACACAACACTTTCATGTAGAACGCAGATATGTTTGTACTTTACCTATGCTGCTCGCCCTTACTTCGAAGAACAAGGCCATACAGCGTTCATGGACCTTATAAAAACATCAAGGACCTTATAAAAATAAGATATAATAATAATTTCTCATAAGGTCCATGCCAGCGCTACGAACGGCACTACTAGGGCTACAAAAAAAGTATCTTCTTCATTATGTGTAAGCGATTCGTTCTCTCCCAACAAAAAGGATCAATTTCTTTACTGTCTTCATTGTGTGGTCACGAAAGCGGTGGACGGCACTTCAGACCTTCGTGACGTCATTTTCCTGCTCGGCAACAAATATGAATGAACACAAAATTAAAAAAATATATATATATATATATTACACAATGGCTACAAGTAAAAATGAGCAATACATGGAAAAATATTGTAGCCAAAAACTGCTCAGTGCTACCAACTATAAGTTTAATCCAACAATACTGTCGGTTAGCGAGTAGTTTAATCCAACAATACTGTTGGTTAAATTCTTTTTTTTTTTCAATGGTGGGCACTTGCCTATAACGGCATTGGCCACTCCTAGGGCCCGAAGTGGTGGTCATTTTATTGTGGAGGCACCTAACAGGCGGCCACCGTTACCTCCTATGAAGGGACAGACAATTTTACATCCTTGGCTTCTCCGGGATTCGATCTCGATTTCATCGGTATCGCAGTGAAGCTCCCCTAACCACTATACCGTCTGGGCGGCATTTAGTTCTTCCAAACATAAATATAATCATACATGGTGATTCACACCATTGTGTCATAGCTTATGCAGAGCTTTGGCAGAGAGCACGATTTTTGTTGTTCTCTTTAAAACTGTATTGCACATAATATCATAATCATGAGCAGTTATAAAGTATAGTAATAGTAATATAATAATGCTCTTCTATCAGCCTAAGATTTCGTTTGCGTTCCTATCTATAGGCGAGAGAGAAAGATAAATGAAAACCGCAATCGTAAAAGTACAGCGCACAAAAGTACACTATACTTCAGCATTATTATACCTAATGTTAATCATGAATATATTAAGTGAATTATGATTGTATGAATATATTGTATTAATGAATGTATGTATGGATATATTGAGTGACATTTTGTGAATATGTTCATTGTATGAAAATGCATTTCATAAACATAGTATTGCGAGAGAAGTTTCAAAACAAGGATACGCGACTAAATACGATTTAAATGACTGGTCATTCCTAATCCTAGTATAAGAAATAATAAGTAAGGGGGTTTCGAACTGACGCATTTATGTTGGGACGCTTGTTTTGTAAAAATATGCAACATTTATAAATTTATATAAAACTTTAAAAATTTCACAGTTGAATTATTATTTAATTAAAAACAAAATCAGAGACAAAATAACAACAATAAAAAAGCGAAATCCTTCTTTATGATCATAGTAACTTGAGATTAAATAATTAAGAACAGAAAATATTGCTAAAGGCAGCTTACACGAATTAAATATTCTATTTTAATCAAATTAAAATGATTAAATAATAAAAATCTGATAATTTATTCAAAATCAATTTTGAATGCTGTACGGCGAATTTTTTACACAAAAATTGGTAAGTGGGTTAAGAAACATTTACTAATTAGGAAATCATTTGTATAAAATCTAATCGAACTTTTAGTTTATATATTTTTATTAAAAGAGTCACACCATCAAAAAATTCAAAATAAAATATCTACCTTATATAATTTACTTTCAGTCTTACGACCAGTTGTTCAAGAAATGTTTAATTGCAGAATCTTTCAGAAGCGCCCTGAGCGTTGAAACCGTTACCGTAGTTTTATCATGGAAGCCATACCTAAAAAATGTTTAAAAATATCATTTAAGTCTAACTGGCCACATAACCAACAATAGTAACCGTTTATGTAAAAGAAAATTATATACATGTTATTTTTTTCAGCAACTCTTCCTACGAAAAAATAGACTGCGTTGATTTTGCTTCATTTCAGAATAGGTCAATGCCTATTATTGTATCTAATTAGTATTCTAATAAAGTAAACTACATTTTATAATGCACAAGAATTCTTCAGTATACATTCTGTTTCTTCATTGCAATAAAATTATATACGTGTTATTTTCATATATAAATGATATCTTAATGAAATTATTTGAATAACCATAATGCTTACTTAGCCATAACATACAGTCATTATGCCACACAAATACAGTTCAGTTATTTATGCTACAGTATAAATAATGCAGAAATTAAATATTATTTATCTAGGAAAATTGTAAAGTATATATACAAATACATATTTACCGAGAAAGATAAATATTGACATAGTTTTCATAGCTTCGTATATATTAAATACAGGTAATTTGAAAGGTAAAGTGTTTTGTTGGTTTTAATGCATCTCTAAAATAGTTGTAACCACTATATTTAAAACATCTTTGAAACAGTTGTTTTCGCCTAGAGGATCGCTTAGTAAATCCATGTGTATAATTTTCTCTGCGCTTTAAAAAATAGAAAAACGTAGTTTAGATTTTAATGAAGTATTTAAAAAAGGAACAACATCTGAATACAGCTTTCTGAGTATTTTGTCAAACATTTTTTTGCAGAAACTCTTCCCATGAAAAAATAGGCTCTGTTGCTTTTGCTTCATACCATTTCAGATTAGATTAAATGCCTATTATTATATCTAATTATTATTCTAATATAGTAAACTACATTTTATATTACACAAGACTTTTTCCGTATACGTTCTCTTTCTTCTTTGCAGTGTAAAATAATTTACGACAGTCTTTAAATTTACCGTTTCCGATAAAATGCTCCAGCCGTATCAGGCCAAATCGTTGGTACTAACATTAAATACTTTACAGTCACTCAAAACTACAGAAGTTACATCAATAACAGTGCAGTACATTTTGTTCATACTTTATTTAAATTGATTAAAAATGAGATCTAAATATAACTTCCTTGTTTTTGCAGAATATCCCCCACGACCATCAGAAGTGAGTGATGTAAATGGTTCCTTTTATCGCCACTTGACCATCACAGTCCCAGTGGTTAGCTCAACGATAGTTCTCGTTGCTGTGCTGTGCGTGGTCTGCATCATCACTAGAAGAAGGACATCCGGACGCAATCCCAGGACACAAGATGGTACGAACTGGTCATTAACTTTCGACAGGATATCTCGTTGCACTGAAGACTCTAAATAAAGATAACGCATTCCTATTCTGGCAAACATTATTCAAAAGATATGGGTAAATAAAAATAAAGGCGAAAAGATGTGCTGAAAAGACCTTGGTTAAGTAAATAGCTTCTAAAAATCTATTGCAACTACACATGTCTCTACCATAAAAATAAAATTTAATTTTCTTTTAAAAATGAAGCATAGCATTTGCATGAAAGCATAATTAGTTTAAAACTGTTATGTAATAATTACGATTATGGTAAATACTTCAAGAAATGTAATTGTGCACTTCATTACTAAATAAAGATTTTCATAGGAAGCATAAATTTTATACTTAGTCATTTATTCCTTTTGCAGTAAGTAACCCATAATTATTTTATTTATCTCAAAAATCTGGTAAATATTGATACTAGATTGCATGGCATGGTCTGTACTGATACTAGCACCCATCACACTTTATTTTCGACTTCTTTGCCTTATTTTGTACTGTTTATATTTTATTTATTAGCTAAAATACACGATAAAAATGGTCTAAACTAAATTTCAAAATTTAGCATCTACTGTTTTGATAAACTCCAGTTTTAAAATGAACTAAACATAGAATTATAATGCGTCCTAATATACATATTTTATAATTAATATGAAATTTTAGTAAAATTAAAGAACTTTTCATTAAATAACGTAACAATATGACTCTTAGCTTGCGCATAGATTAAATTAATTAAGGCATATGACACTACAGTTCTTCGCGTGTGTAGGGAGAGATACTTTCTCAGAGAGCTTTCTGGTAAATAAAACTGGTTCATACACAAAATGAAGTACACTATTATTGTGAGTTAATTATTTTGAATAATGCAAAACCACAGCAGCTATCTGCCTAAACGGATCGATGGCTTCGTGGTAGACGTTCTGAGGAAAACTGACTTGTATTCATGTTACACATGTTTATACATGGGGAAAACAACGAAATTTACCGTGTATCCAAACCTTGGAAACGAAATGAGGTCGAATTACTAGTATTCAGCAGTCTTTGCTACTCTGCTACTGGCAGGTATATGACGCATTAAATTTTACTTAATTCGCCATACACATAATGCATATCACGACGGTTTCTACAGTTTTCTTTCGAACACAGAATGGAATCTGCTAATGATTACCAGTCATGACGATGAATAAAAGGAATTTTAAAAAAATTAAAATCTGAATGTCTTCGGGTTTCAACCTTCCAGAAAGGAATTTATCACGGTTTTTTACTCTCCCGCTAAATTCGCAATCTACCAATCTCCTTCCTCCTCTCTTTTTTTTTTTTTTTTTTTCGGGTGGGACGCCACATACAGTTCCTTTACGCCACATACAGTTCAAAACAAAATCACAGAATTCTCAATGCAGTGATAAGTGTTGGATAACATTTTTCTGATTTTTTCACTGTTCTCTCAGTTTATCATATTAATGTTCACTTTTAAAAGTACTAAGATTTTTTATTTATTGAATATCACGTTCTTCGCCCTTACGCCACATAAAATTCAATACAACACCAAAATCACAAAATATTTAAAAATCACAAACCTTTAAAATTTTTGATAGACGGTTTCGCACACTGGAGATAAAAATGTTTTATTCTGTGTATTTATTCTTCAACCTTTGCTAGCTTTCATAGTTGAGTTTACTAATAAAAAAATCATTTAAATTTTACAAAATATGAAATAAATAAAAAAATGTACAAAACCGTTCTTCGAGAACACTGAATATTTTTAATTAGATGATGAATTAGATCTATTTCTAATATTTAAATAAATCCGATTCAAAAGTAAAAACGGATATTCTTAAGCAATAGATTAATTGCATCTTTGCTTTCAAGTAACTTAGCTTGTTAATCCACAACACACTCAGTTTGAAGGTTAAATATTTTATATCTTGCGGAATGGCAACAGATTCAAATCAAGAGTGAAACGACACATTAATAATGATTCGACGCAAAATCCCATTTAGACACTAATAGTGCCTTTTAGGATAAAGCAAAACAGTCAGTTATTCAGTGCACAAAGGAAATAAAACAGAAAGCGCGACAGCTGGACGTTAACAAAATAGTAAGTTCGATACGCTTTAGCTAAACGAAAATGAGAAAATACATAATCTAAATATTTTAGCAGATTCTCCAAACATATTGAAATGCTCAAAATTTTCAGTTCAAAAATAATATAAGAAAAGATAAAAACGGGACCTTTGCTTTGCTTTTTCATATTCAACTTTCGGCGTCACAGACAATTACGTCCAGTATGTCGTCTCTCAGAAAAATGGTACATTACTATTCCTAATCAATATATGAAAAAATTGTTTTTGACTGCGGACGTCTTTAAAAATATGAAATAAAAAAATTTGATTTTCTTAACCGAGAATAATTTAGTTAGCTTTTAGTTTCTTAGCTTTTGAAGAAGGTTGGCTGCCTAAACAAGTTATGTGCTCAATAGCACCTGCAAAGAATCATGCTAATGTCTTGAAAGAGATATAGAAATGATTCGGCATAACAATAGTCTTATTAAAATTATTTTTTACATTTCTTCTTCCGAATTCTCTTTTAATAGTATTTTCTAGAATAGCTAGCTTTAAATGTTCGGTAAATATTTTATGGTGGTACTTTGCGAATAGTAAGTTTACACAGAAAAATTCTTTTTTGAAGAAAAATATTTTCCATTAGCCTTATAAAAATGAAAGTGATTTCTTAATAGAAATTAATGCTGTAAAGAAAATGAATTTTTCTAGTTATTAGTTTATATATAAAAACCTTCTGTTAGAAATTAATGCTGTAAAGAAAATGAATTTTTCTAGTTATTAGTTTATATATAAAAAATCTTCTGTAACTCGGAGTAAAAGAAAAAAATAATTTAATTCAGTTTTGCTTTGCTAATTTTGTTTAACAGGACTCATACACCTTAAAACCCATAAGATCTTCGAATACGTGACTGTTGCAAGAATAGGATTAACTTATTTATTTTAAAACCAATTATTTTCAACTTTTTACAGCTGACTGGATAATATAGCTGTGTTCTGAAATAGTAATCAGAAAGTTTGTGTTGCCACAAATATTTTTATAATTTAATCCGCTTTGTGACAAAAGTTTTCGTCATGTTTCCACCTTTCGCTCACAGTTTAAAACACTCTGTTGCATAATTTAATTCCATATTTAATATATAGCATTTGCAACATTTAAAACATTTGGAAACTAAGAATTTCAAGTTAAATTTTTATTTTATTTGGAGTTGAGATTATTATGCATTTTATTAAAAAAATCTGTAATGTTTTCGTGAATAATTTTTTTTAATATTAAAATATTCATCAGATTTTTGTTAGAAGATAGTTAGAAGTAGTTAGAAGTAGTGCCCGTATAAAGAATTCTATCAAATTTCAAGTATGTACCATTAGCTATTTTTAAAATATCATGCACGCAAAGTGGAAACATAACGAAACATTTTGTTCCAAAGTGGATTAAATTACAAAAATATTTGTGGCAATACAAACTTTCCGGTTACCAGTTCCCAAAGCAGCTATATTATGTAGTCAGCTGTGAAAAGTTGGAAATAATTGCTTTTAAAATAAATAAAATATCTCAGTTCTTGCAACAGTCACATAATCGAAGATCATGAGGGGTTTAAGGTGTATGAGCCCCCTTAAAAATTATAGAAACAAATTAGTGTTTAGATGAATTCATTTTTTAGAGATAGGGTAAAATGCAACTCCTTTGATGATGTCCTCTTTACATTACGTTTATGAAGTAGTGAATAAACATTTAAGTTCTTAATTATGAAAGAAAGATTTGGCAAAACAGAAACGGGCATGTGCTGCTGTGATATTATGGGGGATCTTAGCTACTGCCTATACGACTGTCACATGAGGGCAAGGCTACATCTATCAAAGTCATTAACAGGTAATGAACAAAAACGGCGGCCATTTCTCGCAGGTAATCATCTAAATAGGTAATATAGCATATAAGTAACTGAATGCATAAATGATACTCTGATAATTTCGAACACATTTCAAGACTGAAACGTCTCTAAATATTACTGTAAATACTATAAACACCAGTTCTGTAAAAATTCTAATAAGTTTTTAGTATTACGATTCCCAGTTCTGTTCAAAATTCATATGCAAAACGCAGCTTCAAATTTTGTCTTCCGGATTTACAACTGTTAAAACATCAATGTAAATATATGTTTTCAAGAATTGTAAAACGTTAGTGTCTAGTTCCAAGTAAGTACTAGAAACTGTATATGCAAACTGTTATTGTTATAATACACAGAAATAAATGCCCCATCGTCCTGCCTATGAACTTGCCTTTGGGTTGTGGTTGGCTAAGATATCTAACTTCTCGCTGGATAGACACAATAGCTCGAAGGAAAATATAATGTGAGTCGTCCAGTCAGAGGTGAAAAAAAATTATGAAGGAAAATATTACATACAGACTTGCATAAATTTCTATTTTCTAACTGCAGGGTTAGCATTTCCCAGCGGTAATATAAATATTATTATTAAGTGTCATGTCCCTATATGCAGTATTGCTAACTTTCATAACGCATTTTCAATATAACTGTTTACTGTTTTTCAAAAGTAATGTTTCTAGGTTTATGATCATAAATCTCAAAAATGCTGCTTTAAATGTTTAATTTTTGTCGATTTCGTCTATATCAGGACATCATTACATTCATGCTTGAGTAATAAAACAAAATACAGCAGTTCGCATCTATACCAATTAACAACGTTTTTCACTAGCATTTATATTTACAATGTTACCAGTTATTTTTTCGTAAGTGATTGCCTTGTATGGATAAATAATTGATTACTTTTATACTGCTTAAAATTTAGTTTTATTAAAAATGTGTAAGAATAATATATCTCTTTCTTCCTCAGGCACAGATTCAAGAGAGCCTGTGAAACCAGATAACATGCCTTTATCAGTGACGTATGACAACAGTCAAGAGCCAACGTACTATCCGTCCCCTTATGCCACTAGTAGTGCTCCTGGATATAGCAGGGAGCAATGTGTACAGTCCAGCCACCAACAAAACATGGGGACATTCGGCAGCGCTCGAAGCGGATACGCGTATGACATACCTTATCCACAAAGAAGAGTATGATATTTTTCTTTATATCTTATATTTATAAATCAAATCGATCCATCTAGTAGTTGGTTGCTTCATATTGTTCCCATACGATAGATGGCGCTCGATGTTCAGTCTCATCCGGTAAAGCGGATAATTAGAGGCGTTCAGGACGAAACAACCTTAGCTCATTTTCAAACTTAAAAATAAGTGAGAAGTCTGACTTGCATTACTGAAGCCTGGCTAGCTCAGTCGGTAGAGCACGAGACTCTTAATCTCGGGGTCATAGGTTCGAGACCCACGTTGGGCGCCATAGTTTTCCTAGTAATACTTCGCTAAGTAACTTTAAAATGTTTATTTTAGAAGCATGACATAAAACAATTACAACGAACGTGGATTCCAGATGAGGATGGATTACACATCTTTAGGCCGTAGCGATTCCAGAATCACTACGAAGTTAGGTGCGTTTTCGTTTACCACCAACAGCCGCAAAGTATATGTTTAAATTTAGGAGAAGGTGAGTAAACCAGTTACCAAAACCTTTTACCAGTCCAACCTCAGGAAAAGAAAGTTAAGCCGTTTTTCTGACTCTTACAATATGCTTTGTGAATTCATCATCAAAATGAATAAATATATTTTTTCATAATGTCGCATTATAATAATAGCATAATATCACGGAAACTGATTTTGAAATCTAAGGACAATAGAAAATGTTCTTCAATAAGTATATTCGATATGTGCAATAGAAAATATTTTAGTTTTACATGTCGCTTTATTAATGCTTTACAAGGTCAAGACGGAAGTTTTATTCAAACGACTTAGTATGTGATAATAAGGCACTTTTTCTGGAAGTCTTCACTTTCGAGTGCTGTACTGTATTTTATCACGGTATAAATTACTGTTTCCTTAAAATAATTTTAAAAATCTTAAAATCTTTTATAATAGCCACTTTCTTCGAGATTGACTCGTTGACTTGAAAATTGTCGTCAAGCGTCAGGAACGGCATACCCTCGTCGCAGTAAATGCGGTCTGGATTGTTGCGCCTGTGAAAGATTCGTAGCTTCGTGTTTCCAATCTCCCAGAATGCAACGAAAATGAAAGGAGGGTATTGATGGCTTAATGTGTCACGCTGTCTCTACAGCGGAGTTGCATCAGGATTATACAAAGAAAGTCCACTTAGACAGATCGAAAATATGAATGCGTTTCCTGCTCCCTTTCAGCTGGCATTGCAATGCAACTACTACATGCATTTGAAAGCATGCCTTTAGGAGATCGTCTTCATTAATTTTCAGAGAAGTGGTTAAGAGACATAATTTTTTTTTCTCTCTTCGGTAGTGAGAAGAGTACACGGTTTTCTAAATAGATCTTGACAGCTGATAAAAAAGGGGGAGGAGATGTTCCTAAGGTCAGTTTTAGAAGAAAACTGTTTTCCATTGGAGGGAAAGAAAGAAAATATTTCAGTTTTATATAACGGTGAAGTGGTCATGTAATTTTACGAAAAATATTTTAGCGTAAATACATTAGGAAATATTTAGTTTAAATAAATCATAGAATATTAAAAATATATCAGTTATATATATCGCTTTATTAAGCTCTTGCAATTCAAAGAAAGAAAGCAGTCGTATGGAAAAGAATACCTGATAGTTGATGACAACGCATTTCTTTCGGGAAAAGTTGGTTTTCGAACGTGATATTAGAATTGTCTGCCATTATTATTTCTTAAATACTTGAATGTGAATTGTGATACAAATATTTAGGAAATAAATGATTAAAATACTATATGGTTTTCACTCTTTTAGGTGGAAAAATTTGAATCAAATTACCAATCTTCAATAGTCTACTTACCAGCATATCACCATACAGGTAATTTTAAATATTTACTTTACGTTATTTTAAGAGCATTATGAAATAATTTGTAATGTAATAATTTATACACTGAGAATGGTATAAAACTGTATTACTATTTCAAATATAAAAAGTCATTTTTATGCAAATATCTGGAAAGAAATTTGTTTTAATTTAACGAACAATATTAGAGTGGCCGTCTTATGCTTATTTTTCCTAAGTGCACATGAACTGGAATATTTCAAATTTTATTTTTCTCTTATTCGACAAGGATTAATGACTCTGATGTGATATCTTATAATAATATTCACCCAATTCCATTTGAAATTGAGAATAACTGCATTTCCCGTAAGAGTAATTTTTTAAAAATTGATATTAATTTATATGATATTTAAATGATTGCCTGATCTGATTTTATGATGAAAAGAGCTATAATTCCAGTTAAAATTGCCAATGCTTTAAGCTTTAAAAACTAATTAGATTTATTTTCAATTTGGTTACGAAGTATATCATTTCATGGGTGGGCCCACCAGCAGCAGAGCGGTAAAGTCGCTGAACACTGGTAGTTCGGTCCGAGGTTCGAATCCCGCGAATGGATTGACTGCATAGGCGTTTTCGTGGTTTTCCCCACGTGTAACGTGTATACGAGTCAGTTTACCTTAGAACGTCCTCCCCGAAGGCATCCCTTCCCTTAGGTAGATAGCCCTCGAGGCTTTGCCATAATCACACACACACTCATTTCATGGATTTAACAGATCAAAATCGCTAAGTAATCTAAAAAGTTTGAAGTTTTTTATTTAAAAACACACGCAGTGTTAAAATAGTATAAAGTTCTTACATCACCCGATGAAATGTTCAGTTTAATTTTAAGGCACTTTAATATACAATCTGTGCAATGAAAATGATCAGACTCAAATATTCTTTATTCTAACACACAAACGAAAAATATTTGAAGTACCTGAACTTTTAACATATAAGGTTTCAGAATTATTAATTTCATTGTTGAGGCGTAAGTTTTTCTTTTAATCAACTATTTACTATTATCTGAACCCTTACTGTTATTTCTTGTTTCCACAACCCTCACCAGAATGTAAATTAGTTGTTTGTGTCTTTAAGCTGAGAGTTTGAATATTTAGATTTAGCACTTTTGGCAGTTTCGTCTTTCTGTTACTAGCACCAGCTCTGCCTAGTTTATTTCCTGCTTTAACATCTTGTTAGCCAACGTTTAAAATGCACGCCTACTTGTCTTGTGCCAGTTTAAGTAGATTATTTTGCGTTGTAGTCTCAGACTACGACACCGACATTTCAATTTAAAGTTACGTTATGTTAATTTAATTTTTCTCAAGTAGCGCATGTTCGTCTGAACTAACGGTTGCTGTTTATTTAAGATTTAGTTAAAATGTTATTTACACGTTGGCGATTTGTTCAGGCTAAGTGATTGCTAACTCGTTTGCAGCTCACTACAGTCTGCAGGTTATTAACACAAGCTTCTAGATACAACAGTACCTACAGAGGAACCTTAATTTTGCACCACAAAATCTTAAGATTGCTTACATGGCCATATCAGCTGAATAGTCTCAGCAATTGATAAAAGAGCAAAATTATTCTGTTCTTAGATTAATGTTTATTTCCATGAGTTTTACTTCATTTTAAAATAATATCAATTTGGTTTTGACTTCAAGAGAGAACAACTCTTGTTTTTGACTTATCTGTGAGTTGTTAAAATTTAATGAGATATTTTCCTTGATTTTATTTGATTTATGATGAAATACAATGAATGATTTTCAATGAAATACTTTGCTGAGATTTTCACTAGTTTGCTATATATGATTCTACCGCATATGACATTAAAACACTTAAGTACTTCACATGCATGAGTCTCGAGGATTACATTCAGTACTTCAAAAGACTAATAAACCAGAAAAATAATTCAAATTTGCCAAATACTTGACACTTTTAAGATGGGTTAAATATTTTATTTTATACTTGATGATATAAGCAAAATGTAAAATTTATGAACACGGTTTCTTGTTTTTTATTAAAGGTATAAATGTAATTTAAGAATTTACACTAAAAGCTCTAAAGGCTTGTTAAAAATACTCATTAAATGGCATTTAAGAAAGCATCTCTGATTAAATACATCGATTATCCTATCAGCCTGAATTGCATGATTAACCTTATAAATTTAAGAATCAAGATTATTACTTGAAACCACAACTATTAGATGAGGTATTTTGTTATCCATATCTAAAAGAGAATGCTAGATGCTTGAGATAACTTTCCAGAAACTTGCCTTTTAATATCAAACATAGTTACTGAATATAAAAAAATTATAATGTGTATTTCAGTAAAAGAGCATGGACTAATTCTTTAAAACAGTACTGACGGTACAGAATATTACTCTAAGACACATAATCAATTAATAATCGGCAGTTAAAATTCTGTAGAGTGGTAATCAGTTGCTTTTTCATTTCCATAACGGTAAATTGTAACAAAGTACATCCGTACATATTTATAATGTATTAATTTCATTGATAAAGTATCTGAAGGTAGCGAAATGCAGTTGTAGAAGGTGCGATAGTGGAAGTAATTGATACTGAAACTGGGATTTTGGTTTTATAATCGATCCTAAATTTTTGCAAATGTTAAACTCATACGATTTATAGCATTTAGGAATTTTTAGAGTGAGACATCAGTATTTTATCTTATATGTATATACTCAAGAGATAAAAACTGAAGGAAAATTCGATCATCAAAGAAGGACAACTTTCTCGTAGGAAACACTCAAAGCAAATTAAAACATTTCCGTAAAATTAATAATGCATAATAAAATTGTTATAAAATGTATAAAATATTTGATATAATATAAAGTTAATTTAGAAGTGAAACAACAAAAATCACCCTTATATTTCACAGACCTAGCTTCTATGATTTTACCGAGCCATCACCCTCAGCTGCCAAAGAGGAAATGAATGAAGTAAGATATAGTGATTAGATAATATAAGATACGCTGGACAGGAACTAAGCTACTTGCTCCATTTTTGATGAAACAAGAAAACTAAAACATAATTTCCTTAAAGGCTGGAGGTAAAGATGGTTTGGAATTAGGGTCGATAACTAAAACAGAGAGATTTTTGAATGTGAAACACCTCTAGGAAATCTAATTTATCAATGGAAGATGTTTTTTGGATAAATTTGGCTGCAGAAAAGCGGAAAGTGTGATTTTCGGACCAACAATGCTCCGCAACAAAGAACTTCTGTGTTTCCCTTTTCGTAATATAGGCCTCATGTTCTTTAATGCAGTAGTACCGAAACGGTACCTATCGTTTACCGTACACCTTCATCGGGTTGCCATCTACCACGCTTCAAATCATGTCTTCCAAACTGGTTCTTAATCAAGAACTAAATTATTTAAAAGCAGTAGCTATTGATAGGGGCTTTTCACCCAATGTTATTAACCAAGCAGTTAAGAAATTCTCGCTTCAACATATCAAAAAGAACATTCTTGTTTTATGAGATTATAAGAATTCTGTTGTCATTCCTTTCTTTCTATCAGTTAGCTATAAAACTGCAAGTATTTTACAGAAATTGAACATTCGGATAGTTTATTCTCCTATCAATAAAATTTCGAGTTCCATACTTAAGGACCCTATTCCAGATATCAATTCCTGGGGTATTTACAGGATTCCTTGCCAGTGTGGTTTAATTTACGTTGGTCAAACTAAAAGAGCCTAAAATTTCGCGTTAAAGAACATGAGGCATATGTTAGGAAAAGGAAAATAAAGAAGTCCTGTGTTGCCCAGTATTGCTGGTCCGAAAATTAGACTTTCCATTTTTTCGCAGCCAAAATTATTCTAAAAACATCTTCCATTGGTGAATCATATTTTCTATCTTTCCATTGGTAAATTCTATAGGCGTCTCACATTAAAAAATATATATATATATATTCTAGTTAACAGCCCTAATTCCAATCCACCTTTACATTTAGCCATTAAGGAAACTATGTTTTAGTTTTCTTGTTTCATCAATAGATAGAGCCAGTAGCTTAACTCCTGTCCAGGCATTCTTTTCTTATCACTCTACTTTATCTCGTTCATTTGCTCTTTGGCAGCTTTCCTTAAAACCATCGAAAGTAGTCTTGTAAAAATTTGCAAATATAACGCTAATTTTCGTTGTTTGACTTCTAAATTAATAATTGTTCGGCGTATTATTTTTACCTAAACTAATATAAAGTTATTGAATATATATGAATCGTTCATTATAATAGATATTTGCATAAGCACTTATAACTTAACAAATTACTACATGAAACAGAAATCCTAAACTTTGAAAACTATCAGTTCTATGGGGAGATGTTATACATTCAACAGTTAATTTATCGTCTTTGATTTCAGTATAGCTTAGTTAGTTTCGGTATATTCTGAATACACTCTATAATCAGTAATTTCATTCAGTTATTACAGAGTAAAATATGTTTAGAACCTTGATGTATTTAGAACAAACATAGAAATTACAACATATTCATTATTGCAAAAGCCAGGTAGAAGAGGCAGTCGTAGAGATATTTACTTTAATCAGAGTCTAATATATTTGTCGAAAACGATCTTCTCGTTGCATCATAAGAAACAGACATTATCTTTTTATTTTATTTTCTCTCTCAGCTTCAGTTTCAGGAGCTCTCTATGATTATGGAAGGATGCTTTCGCAGTGCATATTTAGAAGAAATTTTGAATGTAATTATCATTCTTGAAAGATTTACCACCTCGGTTGTTAATGGAAATGGAAGCAAATGAGTGCCGCGTTATAGGTATATGAAAATACGCATTGCTGGTTTCAATTTTCAGATGGTTAGCAGGCAAACAACCTTTTTAATACACAGGTACATTCATGTAAATAAAGCATGAAATGAAACATTTGAAACGGGTTCATTAGGAAACTCAATGACCAGGGAGAAGAGAAAACTGAAGCAAGAATAAGTAAATATTGGTCTAAAACTATTTTATTTTTTCACATGCTTA